TGACCCTCTCCACCTATGTCAATGCGCCCTCTATCCTGGAACTGTATATAAGCACCTCATTCAGATAATGTTATTACTTTTTTTTAAACTGACTCAATCCCAGGTATGCGAGCCCCCAACTTAACCCTACTCTCCAAGAGTGGAGAAATTCATTCTAACACTCTGGAGGAAACCGCTCTGTCCACCATTCCAGTGATGGAAATCGGATTTGGTAAGGTCACTCTAGCTCCACGTAGAATCTGGGGGTAATGTACGTTGAGGACTCCTGAGGAACAGTGCAATAGGGTGAACCAAGTTCCCTAAAGTTTTAAAAGCAAACTGATCCCAATTTATTCAATCAAATGATTGGCAGGGTCCCCTTATGCTTTGCACATGATAGTCCATAATTGGCTGTCCAGCATAGTACAGTAGTACCATCTGGTCAGCCTCTAGGTGGTCTTATGAACACCTCATTTCAACTGAACCTGTTGCAACCTGTATAAAGTGTATTGAATCAGTGGTTGATAATGTGGAATTGGTTGGATAAAAAGCACACCTGCCTGGGCAACACTCGCCACAGACTGGGATACTGCGAAAACGAGGAAAAGGACCCTGGAAGGTAACAATGGAAATACTCACCCCTGTGTAAAATCTAGCATATGTGATTAAGATAGTTACAGGGGATAGGCGAAAACCCTCAGATGAAGAGATTGCCAGATCATGCAAGTAATGTGAGATAAAAGTATTGGGAGAGGTCCACATACCAGTATGCACAATGACCTCCAGTGGGCAATTCAACTCAGTTGCTAAGGGTATAGGAATGTGACAAATCTGATTAGATGTGACTCACAGAAAATTCCCCACTTTAAAAGAGAGCCCAGAATTAAACGTCGTTGTCTAGCATCTTTAAAGATATTAAGTGCAGACAACAAAACCTTCAAGACCCTCACTGAATATGACCACAATCAAAATCTAATCAGACATAGAAGTGAAAAATAGTGATCAGATGAATCAGTGAAAATGATTTATCCCTTTCCCTGTCTGACAGTGTCTTGAGTAAGAAGAACTGGTCTGAGTATGTAGAGAGAATGAGAAAATGGTCTGTAGACAAACAGTGCAAATCACTCCAGCCAGTGTTGCTTGTAGATCAGCAACCCCGAAAAATAAATCTTCAGATAAAGGCATATAAGAGTCAGGTTACAAACAGTTGTTGAAAAAGAGCATGTAATGTAACCTTAATATACCTGTTAGGTAACCGGAATGGTCATTTGGGATGAAAGACCCATAGCAACTTGAAGAATCCAGAGAGTATTGGGAACTCAAACAATATGTAGTCACGAGAATCGAATGGTAGTCAATAAGGCCGCCTTAAACAGGGTAATTGTGGAAGATGCAAAAACCTCTGCCAAAGAGCCAGGTCAAAAACGAATTATGGTTGGCAGTTCTGATCGAAATGAGTTCAACCTCCTCTAAATACACCATTGCCAGTATATATGTGCCATTTCCGTTGATAAATATTCATCCCGGGACTAAGCAAAAACTGAAATGAATACTTGGCAACCTTAGAAATTAAAATGCTGATGCAATGCGAAAGACTGCATAAACTGTATGCCTGAAGCTTGAGCTGGGTGTAGCATGTCAAATTATGGCTACCTCAACAGAAATAGCCTAAGAAGAAGTGGAAGAGGTAGACACTCTGGAAGGTACTGCAGAAACCAGGGTGTAGCAGCCAATCTGGTGCTATCAACAGGACCCGACAATGGGTTAGAACAAATCATATTTTGTACCCTGAGTAACACATGAAGTAGAGGGAAGGCCTAGAGTTGTAATCCCATCCTGTCCTGATGGAATGCATCCATTGCTAATGCCCGAAAATGAAGTACTTGAGTTTAAATTGCCAGTAGTTTGGTGATCCAATGAAATGCCAACCCACAAATCAGAGTTGCAAAATGAGAGCCAACCCAACTGAACTCTGTGATGCAGCATCTATTATGTTGGGAGAATCTGTTTGGATTGAAACAATTGACCTGCTACTGCATGCAAACTAGTAGGGTGATAAGATTGGGATGGTCCCGAGAAGGGAGGTCCAAAATTCGAAAACAAGGAGCCATGGACCAAATGCCTCCTCGATAAGAAACACCAGACACCACCATGGAATTGTCAGAATGAAGCCTGACAATTTTCCCCATAATAAGCCCTGCCTGTTGAAGAACAAGAAGGGCTAAAACATTGTGTAGTAAAGCCTCTTCATTCAAGCCTAGACCCTGGAATTCCTGACTGTTGGTATATGCATCCCATCCCTGAAGGAGGGCATTCGTGAAGAGACGGAACTCTGGATGAAGTGGTGGTAGAGTAACCCAAATCATAGTAAAGTCCTGACTTAACAACTCCTCGAGATTGAAGAATGATCCCGACTAAGGAAACTGGGAAATCCAGTGAATCGATGCTTATGATCTCTTGGTCGCATAAAGGCCATTAAAAGGATCTCTTGTGCTCTCGTTCCAAGGCATGAAAGATTCGAGTGATGCCCATATTTTCAGAAGAGAAAAACCATCCTTACAGTAGGAGTAGGAGAGGTGAGTAAGAGTCGGGCATCCTGTTCCATAGCATTGAGCTGGATGGGAGTAAGCTGAGCTCAACTGAGACAAGATGAAAAATGAAAAATACCCAGACTGATGACATATTGAATTGGAGCAAGAATATATGTCTCAGTCCTGAAAATGAAGCCTGTCTTGGTTGTTTTTGAAAGCAGAATCAGGATATGATGTTCTGACATTGACGAGATGGTGCAGCAGTAACAAGTCGTCCATGAAATGGTGTGTGTATAGTGTGATGGAATGGAGGTGACAAGAAAAACCCTTGTATGATACAGCAGAACCCATATGAAGCCAATGTGAGTCTGATGGTAGAAACCCAGAACTGCAGTAACTGACATTTGTGCACAACAAACGTCGATAATGGTGGAGCTCCACCACCATGGCAATGTGCAGATAGGAGCCGACTACAACAACTTGTACATCTACAATCCCAGTCAAAAATGTCAACTCATATTGAGGAATGAGTAACTTATGAACCTTGGATAATCTAGGCATTGATATAAAGGAGAAAGATCGATAACTGGACACAAAAACCTAAGAAGAACCAGCATGACTCTCTCACTACCTCCAGACCAACCAAACTCTGATAGCCCTAGAACTAAGTTCCCAATCCTGATGATCTGCACGAGATGTAAACCCTACAGGTTGGGTGGGTAATAGTGGTGAAGATGTAAACAGAATGACTAATCCTGACTCAGGGACCTGCAGTGCTCCTGGATTGGTGGTTAAGATTACCATACGCCCAGAAATTCTTGGAGCCAAGCCCCCACAGACCCTGAAGGTATGCAATAATCACTGACACCACTGGCAAAGATTCGACCAAGCAGTGGAACTTTTGAATACAGACTGAATCTATTCTGGGTACCAATGTACCGAGGAGCTGATGTTGGGACCCACGAGTAGGGGCGGAACTATGACCCCCTTAGAAGCTGATGAAATTCGAGACTCCAATGACAACAGGGTGAACCAATGTGCATGCAAACAATGGATCCAGCTCGTCATGAATGAAGTTCGTGATCCTGAGAGTCTTCCAACAAGGTGAAGTGAAAGGAAAACAAAATGTTAGATTTTAGAGTTGTAAGTCCTTAGATTTACCCTGTCAGGAGACATGGATCTATTCAGGTTAACTACAAACTCTCAGATAGAACCCCGAAATTCCAGGAGCAGATATATTATTTGAGAGTCAAAAAATGCTTCCACCTGGCGGTGGTAGGCTAAATCACGAAGTTCCGACAAGAATAAGGCATAACTGTCCCTTCACATAACTGAGAAGTAAACTTTTCCGCATGAACCACAATATCTGTGGATGGAGAGAAAGCTAAAAATTCCCTCCCAGACCTTTCATCCGTCAAGTAGGATGCAAGCTAAAAAGCAACCAGGAAAAGGCCAAAACATCACACTCATGATGAACCAACAGAAGAAATCAAATCAAAGGCAGGTTATTCCAAAATGGCCTCCTGTTTTATAGGTCATTTAAAGACTGTGTTAATTACCATTGATTGGAACAACATTTTGTCAAGTAAATTTTGTTAGAGCAAAGCAACATTGGGCCATCCACTGCATCCACCATAGGTAATCTTACCCTGGACCCCAGCACTGTGAGTCTGCAATTCACCACTGTTCCACAGGGGAACTGAAAAGCCAACAGACTAAAAGAAGGCAAAGGAGAAAGCAAATCTGAGTTCTCTCAATAAAGCCCCCAGTGGCACAGCGGTATGTTTGTGGGCTTACAATGCTAGAAACCGAGTTTCGATACCCGTGGTGGGCAGATCAAAGATAGCTTTTGGTGTAGCTTTGTGCTTAACTACAAACAAACAAACTTTCCATAATGTCAAGGATCACTCTCAATTGTAGCCGTGGTGGCTCCCCAGAGGGCCACCACAGAAATAAATATTTCTCTCCATCTCACTACGAATAAGATCACTGAAAGTCTCAATCAAGATTGACCCCCCCTCCCCCAATTGTTGTGTGGTGCTAGATATCAGAGGTAGAATAGGAAAAACCTGATTTGCCTTCAAGCCGCAGAATAATCCGAGAATTCATAGCGTAAATTGGCTTGCCAATCAGAATAATTTTTTTTTATTGTTGTTAAGAAAATCAACTAAATAACATGGATAATATTCAAAGTATCTCTGAACGATCGTAATACTTAAAACCCGTTAGTGATACTTTGTTGAGAAAAAGTGATTACATTATCTGACTGAAGTGCTTCTATACAGTAGCAGTATAGAGGACGCATTGACGTAGGTAGAGAGGGTCACGAGATAAATATTGACAAGGGCAATTGAGTGGAGTATAAAGAACTGGAGCAAGCAAGAAAAAATCAGACCAATGCTTAGATGGGCAAAGGAAGAAACCTTGGCAGTTGAGAAATTCTATCAGTGTGAGAGAAGGTAAGTATATTTGGAACTAGCCTACTGTTTCATGGAATAGCTGTTTTATATTCTACTTTTAACATGTGCATAAAAGATTGCTTTATAGTTTTCATATGGAACAGGGATACTTTTGGATTCTTCTCTTGTGACCCAATTTTCTGACTGGTCAGCTGCTGAGAGAGAGAAAGTGTGTGTGTGTGTGTGTGTGTGTTGTGAATGCAGTTTGGCAGTTTCTCTGACAGATTCCTTTCTATTTTCAGAAACAGCATTTTCATTGTAAACTTGAAAGGCTTTCTGGTGAAGGTTCATTCATGTTTAGAACTTTTCAACATTTTAATTCTTTCTCTGCATCATTTTTAGTTTATTTATAATATAGCTCTTACAGTCACTAATTTTTATTTCATTCTGCACTTCAATTTCAACATCCCACAATATTCTGATCGTTTAGATGATCAGCAGTTATCTTTCAGTTTTTCTTTGCTAATAAAATGTTTGTTTGTTTGTCTGATTTTCCAATGAATCTTGTATCTTTCATTCTACATGTGACAATTCACTACACTAGATCTGCCAAGCTGTAGTTATTGCATAGATTAAGTTACTTTGTACTAAGTATAACCTTGCAATTACCACATCTTACCTTGATCAAATACTTTTTGGTATCTTTGTGCAGGAAGTGGTAGCTAATTTCTGTCTTCAACTTCTCCAAGTATTTCTTTCTCATTGCTCTGAACAAGAAATTATCCAAGGGATGCCTTTTTGCTCTGCAAAGAACTTTAGCAGAGAGGAGAAAAGTCAACCTGATCTAAGGGTGAGAACATATGTCCTCCAATTGACTCATAGAAGTTCTCTGTTCAATGCTTAGTACTCTCCACAATTCTGACAGGAGTTCCAGAGTGTCATACACTATCCACCCATCAACTAGACTGAACCATATCTTTGCTCTTTAGGTATCACTGATAATGTTAGTTGATATTGATCAGGCAATAACCTCAAAAACACAGTTGGGAAGCCAGAAAAAAGTGGTTACCAGCCATGGTTATGCTGAAACATGGGGTTGTCTGTGTAGAATGTTGATGAGATCAATGTCTAGTACTTTTGAAGCTCTTTACTAGAATGATTCTTCTGGAAATAGCTAAAGATGAGCTGCAGTAGCCAGTAAATGTTCACTAACCCAACACTGTCTGCTTGCAGGTGACCTGGTTGCTATCATGGCATGTGTATCGTGTATTCTGGACAAGCCAGAAGCCCTCTCAGTACGATGATGATGCTTTGTAACAATCAGAACCTCATGTTCAATCAGTTTCTGGAAATGATATTATTATCAAGGTAATGCATCACTCCAGTGAACATAAGCAGGAGTTTAAAATTTGGCAAGATGTAAAAACTTTAGCCAGTAGAGAAGGGTTGATGTCAGTATTAACAACAGGTCCACAGAATGGCATATATATATATATATATATATGATGATAGAATGCCTTTGACACAACCATCAGGAAGCAGAATGGTGAAACACATAATGTCTCCATTATTTAAGAGTTCAGTGAAGGAATACTTACATTTCTTCCTGAAGTATCTTTTATTTTCAGATAGCTGCATGGAGTTCTTGGACCCAATAACAAATGAAGCAATATCTACTACTTAGTAATGATAGCTCACTGCTAGACATCATAGAATAACTAAACATGACTATCTCTGGAGCTTGGAAGCTACTGTCCCAAAGGTACATCAGTAATTTGACCTGGTAGAAAACTGAGCAGTGTATCAGGGAGAATTTATGGTCATAAAATTAACTGTTTATGCTAGTGAGCTGCAAGTTACAACACTTATATTGTAAAGCATGCTCTAGCATGCTTGCCATCACACTGCTGCTAGATTCTGTACAAGTATGGCACCTGTCCTGTGTGCAGCTAATGGTTTAAAGAACTTTGAGATTCTCTAAACATTAAATGATACATGTATCGTGGAATATCAGGGAGTACCTCACACTACAGCCAACACAGGGCACATTCTAATAGAAATGTAGATTAATGATGTAATCACTTGAATTCCTGTGCATCTCAGAGAAAGAATCACCCACATCTGGGAAAACTTTGTCACCCATTTTTAAGTTCCACATTACAGGGAATAACCTTGGATATCACCAGGCCCCTCTTCAAAACTAATGAAGGTAATCATTCCATCCTGGTAGTAATAACTTAGTTTAATAATGCGGCTGAAGCACATTCACTATTCAATACACTGGCTCAAACAGTTGCCAAAACATTAACTAAGCAGTGGAGAGCTTACTTTGGAGTACCATAAGAGATCAATAAAGATCAAGGAGCAAGTTTCAATGGTCAACTGTTTGTTGAGTTATGAAAGGTATTATCTGTGGTGGAGACTTGTAGTATGCAAATTCTACATATTTTACTCTCCTAGTTTTCCTATCTTCTAAATCTGGAACGTACTAAATCAAGTTGAGATTGTGTGTAAAACCCAGCCTGAGGTGTCATGTTTTTCTAGCTTGACCAGTCAGTGAATTTAACTGCTATTTCATAGGAGAGCTGAATTTTCTCCTGCTTAACTTTGTGTATGGGGACAACTTAGCGAATGTTACATGGGACAGAGATAATTCTGCTTCCAGTGCTTGTTCTCTTATTGAGTAGTTGCAAAGAGAGAGAATATGCTTTGTGACTGCAATCTTGTCTCTTTCAAAAAAGATTGATCATAATATTTGAGGAGAGCAATTTTTTGTTTCTCAAGAAAGTTAAGACTTTCTAGTGAAGTTTCACCCATGTTAATCTTTTCTCCATCAGCTTTTCCTGACCATATAATCTAACTTCCTTTAACATTTATACACTACCAATTTTAACTTTCTAGCTATACCTGCAACTGATAAATGTGAGCAGGTATTATCTAAAACTACCACACATCACCTCAATCAAACATGTTGGTGCTGTTGGTTAGAGTTTAGTCACTATGGAAGTGTTAGTGATTTGCATCTTTGATTCCTTCAGGTTATACCTCTATTCTGATCTTTGTGAAATATAATTCAAAAGATGCCTCTGCATTCAGGCAGAAACTCTGGTATAGAGAATAAGAGTTGGATTCATCTAAGAGTGAGAATGAAGGAACTCCTGATTAATTTGCAGGAGTCCTGTGTTAAATACTGAATGTTTCCCTGCACTCTAACAAGTGTCTTGGAGCTTACAACCACTTACCAAGATGAATGAACCAATGGCCTAGTTAATCAGGTACCACTGAAAAATGTCAGTTGATCTCAAAAGGATTAGCCAAGCCCAAAGATACAGATGAAAAGATAACAAGAAAGGGTTATCAACTGTAGCTTCACTGAGACCTACTGGGACAGTCTGTACAGCAAGCTGCAAAAATCATCAAAGATACCATTGCTATAGCAATGCATCATACAAGGAAGCAGGAATTTAAAATTTGCAAAATTTAAGAATTTCAGTTATTAGAAAAGAGAAGATGCCACCTGAGAGAGAAAGAAACACACATGGAAGGAGGACTTCAACAGTGAGTTTGGACCCCTGGTGCACTATGGGAGAGGGTGATAGATAAGATCTCAAAGTAGTTTGGACAGTGAGCTAGTCAACAGATTAATCACTGAGATGGAGATGTAACCCTTACTTTATGAGATATCCAGTGAAAAAACAAAAAGGATGTAGAATTTAAGCAGTATTTATATATATACATATTTTGTTAAACAAGACCGATGTCTGTAGGTTTACTTTCTTCTTAGAAT